TGGTTCCTGCCTCCACCACATCACTTTCTAGGCTATTCCATGGCCTGACTACTCTATGACTGAAGAAATACTTCCTAACATCCCTTTGATTCATCTGAGTCTTCAACTTCCAATTGTGACCTCTTGTGTCCGTGTCCCATCTCTGGAACATCGCGTCTTTGTCCACCTCGTCTATTCCGCGCAGTATTTTATATGTCGTTATCATGTCTCCCCTGACCCTCATGGCCTCCAGTGTCGTCAGGGCCGATTTCCCTCAACCTTTCTTCATAGGAACAACCCCCGTAGCTCTGGGACTAGTCTTGTTGCAAACCTTTGCACTTTCTCTAATTCTTGACGTGCTTGACTAGGTGTGGATTCCAAACTGGTGCTGCATACTCCAGTATGGGCCTGACGTAGATGGTGTACAGAGTCTTAAACGAATCCTTACTGAAGTATCGGAAACGCTATCCGTGGGTTTTGCCAGGCGCCCGAAAGCGGGCAGCAGTTTCCTGATTGATGTCCCGCCTCAGGAGATATGCTCAGTTTTTATACTCACCCCCAATCTTTTTTCTTGAGTGAGGTTTGCAGTCTTTGGCCATCTAAACTATATTGTGTCTGCGGTCTTCTTTGCCCTTCCCAATCTTCATGACTTTGCATTTGGCAGGGTTAAATTCAAGGAGCCATTTGGGCTGGACCAGGTTTGGGGGAAAAAGCCTGTCCAAAATCTCTTTGTAGTCCTGCCTGATCCTCGTCCGATTCGATTCTTCTCATTAACTTCACATCGTCTGCAAACAAGGACACTTCTGAGTCTATCCCCTTTCCGTTTATGTCGTTCACGTATACCAAGAACAGCACGGGTCATAGGACTGACCCTGTGGAACCCTGCTTGTCAAGGCGCCCACTCTGACACCTCGTCGCGTACCATGACTCGGTGTTTCCCCTCCCTGTCAATATTCTCTGATCCTTTGGGCAGTGCCTTTCCTGTTATGTGGCCTGGTCCTCTAGCTTTTGCAGTAACCTCTTGTGAGGAACTGTGTCGAAAGCCTTCTGCAGTCCAAAAATACCGTCGATCCACCCCTCTCCCCCTTGTCTTACTTCTTCAACCTTGCCCATAAAACTCTAGTAGTTTTGACACAGGATTTTCCTTCCCTGAAACCGTGCTGGTTGTCAATTATACACTTGTTTCTTTCCAGGTGCTCCACCAACTCTCCTCCTGATGATCTTCTCCATGACCTTGCATACTATACACGTTAGAGATACAGGTCTGTAGTTTAGTGCCTCATGTCTTCTCCCTTTTTTAAAAATTTGGGGACTACATTTGCCATTTTCCATACCCAGGGAGTTGCCCAGTTTAAAATGATGTGTTGAAGATCTTTTTTTAATGGCTCACAAATATCTCTGCTCCTCTTTAAGGACCCATGGAGAGATGTTGTCTGGCCCCCACCGCCTTTGAGGTGCCCAAGTTCGCATAGCACTTCTTCACCTCCCCCTTTTGGTTATATGTACCTCATCCAGCACTTGCTGGTATGCTCCCCTTTTCCCTGAATTTCTTGGAGTCCTACTGGTTTCCCTGAAAATTTACCTTTTTAAATCTTGTGTTGACTCCTGACATACCTCTCGGGTTCGTTTCCTGTGAATTCCTCATCACCCTTCCTCAGTCTGATTACCTGGTCCTTGACTGTTGTTTCCCCTAATGTGGCTGTACAACAGCTTCGGGTCAGTCTTTACTTTTTATGCTATGTCATTTTCACATTGTCTCTGAGCCTCCCTTCTTATCTGTGCATATTCGTTTCTGGCTCTTCGGCTGATTTCTTTATTTTCCTGAGTTCTCTGTCTTCTGTACCTTTTCCATTCTCTAGTAACACCTAGTTTTTTGCCTCCCTACACCTTTGGGTGAACCAAGGACTCTTCTGTCTTCCCATTATTTCTGTTTCCCTTTGGAACAAACCTCTCCTCTGCCTCCTTGCATTTTGTTGCTACATAGTCCATCATTTCTTGTACTGGTTTTCCTGTCAGTTCCCTCTCCCACTGAATGTCTTTAAGGAAGTTCCTCATGCCTGAGTAGTTTCCCCCTTTTGTAGTTTGGTTTTTCCCAGCCTATTCCTGCTACTCTCTCCACTTGGAGCTCAACTATGTAGTCGAAGCACAGAACCACATGATCACTAGCTCCCAGGGGCCTTTCATACATGATACCCTCGATGTCCGAACTACTCATGGTGAATACAAGGTCCAACCTTGCTGGTTCATCCTCTCCTCTCCTCTGGTAGTGTCTCTAACATGTTGAGCATGAGGTTCTCCCAGTACCACATCCATCATCTTGGCTCTCCAAAGTTTCGGGACCCCCCCATGGGGCTCCAGGTTTTCCCAGTCAATCTCCTTTTGATTGAAATCACCCATAACTATAACTTTGGGTCCCCCCATGTGCGCTCTCCTGGCCACCTCGGGTAGTGTGTTGATCATTGCTCTGTTTTCTCCTCATCGTTTTCTTCTCTTGGCCTCCTGCAGTTCTGTGGGGGGTTGTACCAATACTGCAATTATCACCCCTTTTGTCCCTCAGACTGGATTGTTCCTACTAAGTAGTCCCTTTCGCCCATGCCATCCATTCCTTTTCCCTTTTCTCAAAACCCCACTGGTTTTTAATGAGCAGTGCAACTCCTCCTCCCCCTCTCCTCCCTCTGTCTTTCCTGAAGATTTGATATCCGGATGGAAAGATTGAATCTGTTATTATTCTGGTGAGTTTTGTTTCTGTGAGAGCTATTATGTCTGGGGATGTCTCTTTGATTCTTTCGTGCCACTCCTCATACTTGTTTGTTATTCCATCTGCATTTGTATACCACACCTTCAACTTCTTTTCTAAGACTGTGGTCTGGTAAGTATATTGGGGTTGGGGAAGTGGGAGACCTGGTAAGGAACTATGGGTTGTTGCTGTGGGGGTGAAGTTTGTAATGTAGTGGGTGGGGGCATTGGATGTGGCATGGGTGTTTTGATTTAGAGTGTGTGTGTGTGTGTGTCTGTGTGTGTGTGTGTGTGTGTGTGTGTGTGTGTGTGTGTGTGTGTGTGTGTGTGTGTGTCTGTGTGTGTGTGTCTGTGTGTGTGTATGTGTGTATGTGTGTGTGTGTGTGTGTGTGTGTGTGTGTGTGTGTGTGTGTGTGTGTGTGTGTGTGTGTGTGTCTGTGTGTGTGTGTCTGTGTGTGCGTGTGTGTGTCTGTGTGTGTGTCAGTGTGTGTGTGTGTCAGTGTGTGTGTGTCTGTGTGTGTGTGTGTGTGTGTGTGTGTGTGTGTGTGTGTGTGTGTGTGTGTGTGTGTGTGTGTGTGTGTGTGTGTGTGTGTGTGTCTATGTGTTGTGTGTGTCTATGTGTGTGTGTGTCTATGTGTGTGTGTGTCTATGTGTGTGTGTGTCTGTGTCTGTGTGTGTGTGTGTGTGTCTGGTTGTGTCTGGTTGTGTGTGTCTGGTGTGTGTGTCTGGTTGTGTGTCTGGTTGTGTGTGTGTGTGTGTGTGTGTGTGTGTGTGTGTGTGTGTGTGTGTGTGTGTGTGGTGTGTGTGTGTGTGTCTGTGTGTGTGTCTGTGTGTGTGTCTGTGTGTGTGTCTGTGTGTGTGTCTGTGTGTGTGTGTGTGTGTGTGTGTGTGTGTGTGTGTGTGTGTGTGTGTGTGTGTGTGTGTGTGTGTGTGTGTGTGTGTGCGCGTGTGCCCGAGTCCAAACATGATCTACTGCTAAGGCAGTGGTTTCTGTAATTCTTGTATATACATTTGATGGATTTTGAGTTTTCCTACTTTTGCAGCCCAACCCTGAACCAGGCTTATCTGGCACTTGTTTGTAGGGTCAAGGGCAATCAAGTGGTTTAGCAAGAGTGAGAAGTGATGCAAGCAATTCGCACCATCACCACTACTGCTGCTGCTGGACCCACCAAATTACCATTATTTGCATTCACATAATTGTTTTCAATTTTCACTTTATCAAATGCATTTATTTGTGGCATATGCTCATTTGGTGTAGGGTTGATGGGTAGAATTCTATTTGTTTGGTACAATTGGGTAAAAAAGAATTTTTATATTATGACTGATTAGAGGAAATAAACTCAATTTTTTTTTTATCTTTGATTGACTTGTATGAATTGCTTGATTGTATAGTACGGAAAAATTCAGTGACAATTTCTATTGAACTTGAGGCAGGTTAATTCAAACTTCACTAATGATGGTCAACTGGGAATGAGGCAGCTATACAAGTGCAAAACTGGTCAATAAGCGAAGGAATTCAGTCATTATTCAAAATTATATTTTGCAAGTACTGATTAAATGGGGATCAAATATATGATAAAGGAAAATATAGTTAGCCTAAGTTCAGTGAGGAAAGTGGTAATTTGTGGAAGTTTTTTTCTTCAGAAATAGAGTTCAATACTGAATGGAATCCAAGGTATGTTACCAATGGAAAATTAAAGCAAATTGTTCAACATTAAATAATGAAGACAGGACACCATAAGCATAGCTCTGCTCCTGTAACTAAAAATAAGTACTATGTTAATCACAGCAAAACTCTGATGTATCAGGTAACTTAAAAATTAAATTATCAGCAAACTCTAACATCTTGTAATTGCCTGTGATAGAAAAAAAAAATGATAAAGTAGAACCCCCATATCCATGGATTCAGTATCTGCAGTTTCAGTTATCCAGGGTTTACCACATCCTGAGAGTAACCCTTACTTTTGCTTAATAATGGCACCAGAGCACAAAAGTAGTGATGATGGCAGTTCAAGGTCTAAGAGAAGCTGCTGTGCAGTGCTTCCCATCAGTGAAAAGTGCTAATAATTGACTTATTGTGAGTAATTTATCAATTAGAACTTTATCGTAGTATGTGAGTAAATGAAAAACAACTTACATGTATAGGGTTTGTCACTATCCATGGTAGGTCTTGGAATACATCCCCCACAGATACTAGGGGACTACTGTATACAATATTCAGCCCAACAGAGGACAACACGATTAACATCACTGATATATGAAACTGGTGAATATATAAAACTTACTCTTTGCTCCTTAAAAATCTGGTCAATATCTCCTTGGACAACACCTGGTGGAAGGTTTCCAACAAATGCAGTGTATGGAGGTTCTGTTGGGAAAGGTTTCCGAGTCCGGCTTCCTCCATATCCTCGTCCACTATCATTATACCGCCCTCCGCTACCACCACCTCCTCCACCTCCACTCCCACGGTAATTATTCCTAGGGGAAAAGTGTTTTATTATGATATGTAGTGTTAATGTGGCAATATCCTTTATTACCTAAATTCACACACCCACCCAAAAATACTGCAATGTACTCATTTTCATAAACATTTGACTCAGCAAAATATTCAGGTATTGTACTGTATTACACAGTCCAGGAAATGGGTATTAAAACTATGTACTAAACTACAGTATATTGTTTAAAATTCGCAGAACAAGCGAAATATTCACAAATGCTAATCTCAGGCCTGAAGAGGCTTGTACCTACGACCCATGGGACATGGTACACAGTACATACTCTGCTCACTGAAACACACTGACCAATGCCTTGGCGCCCAGGTTACGCTAGATGTTTTGGTCTAAAGCAGCCGCTTTTGACCAATGCATCTAGCATAAGCTGGGCACCAAAGTACTGACCAGTGTGGTTTGGTGAGAAGAGTACTGTGTAACTTTTCCCAAGGTTCGAGTCTTCTTCAGATGGAGATTAGTGTTTGTGAATACAGCCTCTCCTCACTTAGCAACGTACTCATTTACTAACGCCTCAAACTTATGACAGGCTCTCTGACCAGTATTCATACCTAAACAATGTATATTAAAGCTTATATCCTCTATTCTGTTTATTTCAATATACAGTACACTACTGTATAAACATTTAAAAATATACCAGAAATGTTATAAATGGTACAAAGGTGACATTAAAACAATATCAAAGATAGTTGACACAAACTCACTACAATTAAAGCATGTTCCTTACTTAACGATGAATTCATTTAACAACGTGGTCTCAGGAACAGAACTCCGTCGTTAAGTGAGGAGAGGCTGTACAGTACATTATTTTATTATTGTTGGTAAACAATTTTGGTATGAACAGTGGACTACTGTAGCAGGTCTGTTATGACCACAGAAATAATTTTGCATGATAATGAAAAAGCATAGATTTCACTTCTAAGTTTTCTGTGATCTAAGAGACTTGTAACTGAAGATAATAAATGAAGAAATTCACTTAAGAACACCTAGTCTGATATCAAGCTATTTAACAGTCAATATCAAGCTATTTAACAGTTAATGTCTCAAATTGCATAGACTTGAATTAAGAAGAGTTGGAACAGAAGTGGGTAACCCATTTTTTCTATCAGGGATTAAAAAAAAATCACTCAAAAAATCATACAAAATTACCCACCCTGGTGGTTTGCAAGAAGTGTGAGCAAAGTAACATTTATGAAGGGATTCAGGGAAACCGGCAGGCCGGACTTGAGTCCTGGAGATGGGAAGTACAGTGCCTGCACTCTGAAGGAGGGGTGTTAATGTTGCAGTTTAAAAACTGTAGTGTAAAGCACCCTTCTGGCAAGACAGTGATGGAGTGAATGATGGTGAAAGTTTTTCTTTTTCGGGCCACCCTGCCTTGGTGGGAATCGGCCAGTGTGATAATAATAAAAAAAATAATAATTGTACTTAACTGTATTTATACTATTTCCAATTACAGTGGACCCTCCCTTTTCATCTTTAAATTCGCTCCAGAGAGTACAACGAAATGTGAAATTGACTAAAACTAAAACCATTTTCCCAATAAGAAATAATGTAAATCCAATCAATCCATTTCAGACATCCAAAGTATAAACAAAAAATACATTTTATAGAGAAGAACTACAGTGGACCCCTGAGTATCATGATTAATCCGTTCCAGAGAGCCTGCTGAATGGTGAAATTCACGACTGGCGAATCCATTTTCCCCATAAGAAATAATGGAAATCAAATTAATCCGTTTCAGACACTCAAAAGTATTAACAAAAAAATATTTTTTTTTCAAGATTAAATATAAATTTACATACAGAAAACAATGACAAATAAATATAAAGCACTAATAATATGGATAAATGAACATTTAACATCACACTTACCTTCATTGACTCTTGTTGGTGTATGGAAATGTCCACGAGATGGAAGAAAAGTTTCATGTACCACTTGTAACTCTTACGAACACAGTCAACAAAACCAATCTGCATGTCACACTTGTCAACCAAGCGCATGTTTTGGGTATAATCAATCACTGACACTGGTTTTCGAATATGTTCATTAGTCACTCAACCAACTTTGCCACTGTCTTGCATTTCATTATGGTGAATGGTTGTCAATAATGTGACATCTCGTTTGTCATGCCACCGTAATGCCATGATGTCATTGGCAGTAAACACCTGCACGTCATCACCACGAGCACCTGCGTTGAGCCTGGGCATATGTTTACGATTAGAACGCACTGTACCACACACATCTGTCTTGTTCACTCGCATGAAATCACTGAGTAATGGGCTTGTGTACCAGTTATCGGTATATAATGTATGCCCCTTACCAAGATAAGGTGCCATCATGTTTCTCACTACGTCACCTGAGATACCCAATAACATCTTGGTATCTTTCAATGTTTTACTACCCGTGTATACAACAATATCCAACACCAGGCCACTGTCACAATCACAGAGTACAAACAGTTTTATACCAAAGCGTTTCCTTTTGCTCGGTATATACTGCTTGAATGACAGTCTACCTTTGAACAAAATCAAAGACTCGTCAATTACAAGATTCTTGAATGGATAAAAGTATATCCTGAACTTTTGTTTGAGATACATGAAAACATTTCTAATCTTGTATAACCTGTCACTGTCAGGCCTGGTTTTGTCAGAGAAGTGCAACATACGTAAGAGTAAGATAAACCTGTTCACTGGGATGATTTCACTGAAGAACGGGGTAGAAATTAGCCGATCTGTGGACCAGTATGCTTTTATATTATGCTTATAGACGTGAGGCATAAGCATTATTGTTGCAAAAAGCAAATACATTTCTGCAACAGTCGTCTCTTTCCACCTGTGTAGTCTTGACTGTGGTGATAAGATCGTATTTGCCATGGTGTACTCAAAATACTTATTACTTTCCCTGACAATAATTTCCATCAATGGCTGGTCAAAGAATAATTCAAAGAATTCCAGTTCATTGGCCGTGGTTCCAAGGGGACAAGTAGGTAGAATTCCACTTTGAGAATCATCAAAGTGGTGAGGCTTGGGAACAAAATTGGGATTTTGCTGCCAATCCCACATACGGTTTGCTGGTGGATACTGGACATCATAGGCTGGTTGTGCGGGTGGTTGTGGTTGTGGTGGGCTGGTGGCTGGCGCTCTGCTTTGTCCTTGAACTGACGAGTCAGCATGGGTCCCAGCGTGGCCTGGTGAGTCACGCATGGCGGTGCCACTACCATCACCACTAACACCATCCACTGATGCCTGTGGTCTATCCATGCCAAGTGTAGCCACATCATCCTCACTATCACTACCTAAAACTGGTGTTGGGCCACGGGATGTACTCCGGGATGTACTCCATCCCCTGGGCACAGCATAGGGTACACTACCCGAGCGCATGCGGCGGCGAACATACCGACGCTTCACTGGTGAATATGATTCCTCACTATCACTACTCGATTGATCGTCGAGCGCAATAAAATCACAGTCCACGTCACTATCATCATCATTACTGAAGTCAGAGGCCTGGCCACGCGAAAATATTCGTTTTCTCTTGCGATGAGGAACAACCGACCGTGAGTCACGAGTGCCCACACCAGAGGTAGAAGGTTGAGGATCGTCAGGGTTTTCTGCACTATTATCGATATCCTGGTCATTCTTTTCGGTCACTAACTGATCAAAGCCGTAGAATTCGTCTTCATTTCCACTTCCATCAGTGTCAGAACTATCAGATAGGAAGAGGAGAGTCCCAATTTTTCGGGGAGTGAGAGCTGATTTGCGACGAGGCATGGTGAACAAGGGTAACTGAGCCGCCGTTCCCACAATGCTATGCGGGCGCCTAGATTTTTTGTTTATGGCGCACACCCACCACGCAGACCCGTTCTCTCACATGTAGGCCTATGAGCCTTTTCGCGCTAAATTTGACGGCGCTAGAATTTTGGCATAGATCTTCGGTTTGGACACTCAACGTAAAGCCGTTGATCTACGGGACGGACCCTGAAAGGGTTAAAATGCCATCGTAAATGAGAGAGAAGGCAAGAGACACAGAGAATGTGAACAAATGAACACGTAAGGGGAATCGCTTGGTCAGACGAAACTAGTATTAATACCTGTCTACTTTTGGTTCATACATGTACATTTGCACTAGTTGTTGAAGCATTTACCCCAAAATACAAACACTTACATTGTCTATAAGTTGTCTTCATGTTAGCACAGTAGAATAAATAAATAAATATCTACAAGTGAAGGCACATGAAGTGATAATTTTCTAGTTACCCACAGTAATACTATAGTGTACACACTTCACTTTCGTGAGTCATGTTAAATGTGTGCAAAGTGGGTTGAACTGCAAACCTTTATGGATGAAAATCACCCTAACACAGCTATTGCAAGCTGTGCTGGTGACTATTATAATGACAATGTTGTGGCCCATTTTAGACAAATCTTAAAGGAACGGGAGGTACAGAGCTCTATGGACAGATTGGTTGTGTGACAGAGGTCCCGTGACTCTCAAGCTGGTCCTAGTGGCACTAAAAAAAGAAGGGAAGTAACCCCGGAAAAGGACTTGCTACCTCAAGTCCTAATGGAAGGGGATTCCCCTTCTAAACAGTAAGAACTTTGACACTCTCCCCTCCTCCCATCCCACCAATCATCACCAGATCTTCATTAAAGGTAAGTGTCAATTATTCTATTGTTATTATTCTATTGTTATTGTAATTATTCTATTGCATTAAACTTAATATTTCATGTGGTAAAATTTTTTTTCTCATACTTTTGGGTGTCTTGCACGGATTAATTTGATTTCCATTATTTCTTATGGGGAAAATTTATTCGCTTTTCGATATTTTCGGTATTCGATGAGCTCTCAGGAACAGATTAATATCGAATACTGGGGGCCCACTGTACTTACACTTTTATATTTACACTTACCATGGAGGAGATGTTAGTTTAATTAATTAGTTTGATGGAGATGCTGGCAGAGGTTTAGGGT